CCCCAAAACCCCAAAACCCCAAAACCCCAAAACCCCATGATAGACCAAAAACCTTGAAATTACTTAGAGCAGATAAAATTTATAACTCCGAAATATGTAAGCCAGCAGGCTTCCAGGTAGAAGACAATTTGCCCCGAAAGAAATCTTAGCCAGAGACTTTGACAAATCTGAGTGGGAGAGTCCGTTGATGAAGTTGTCAAACTCTTCAGGAGCCGAAAGCCAGTTACTGTAGTCAGGCCCTTCTCAGTACCTGAGGTCAAGAGATCTTATGGTGGTTTTTTCGAGAGCAATGGTGAAGTCTGGGATTTTTGGGAAAGAGAAGCTGGTACGGTAAAATATTAGGGACTCTAAGTGCTTTCAAGCTCTTAAGAGCTTTTTAGTCTGCACTTCGTTCATCTTTAGGCGATTAAACTGTATTGTCTTCAAAGTTCTGGAGCTGACCCTTACAATTTCAAGCAAATAAGGACTAACATCAGTAAGATTTTGAGGGTCCCAATGTATTTCATCGACATTCATTGGGAAAGAATTCTGAAGAAAAAGCTTCAAACTCTTTTTCTGCTTTGGAAAATGATAAATTAGAGCAGCTACAAGCTTTGGAAGCTTGATTTTCTTTATTTTCTTGAGAGAGTTAAGGTCTTGAATATTATCAAACCATATGTCCATTTTACCCTGCAGATTAAATGGGCGTTTCTTCCTGATATGATTCACATATACCCCATTGCTAATCTCAGTCTCCTGTTCCCACACTTTCAGTTGGAATTCCCTCTGCCTTAGTCCTCTTCCTTGCTCACTTCTGGGCTTGCTTCCTATACAATACTTGGTTAAGGCCAGTGACTGGTGATGGGGTTGGGTACTTTAGGAGATATGTAGTAGAAATTCAGGAAATTTCGAACCCAAGGCTGGATTTAGGGCGAGGGTAGGGTAAGATAGGAGGGGGAGGAAATGGAGGAGGAAAATGTAAAGGGAGGTGGGTGGAAGAGAATTGTAGGGTTTTGGGGTTAAGATTTTGTATGAAATGTTAGGATTTGGGTGAGAACGGTTGATTTAGAAGTTAATTGTTGTTTTATTGATAGTGTGATTTAAATTGGTAGAAGTCTGTTGAGCATATATGGAATTAAGGGTTACCTCATTTAGTTTCTTTTTTAAAAGTTTTTGCCTCTTTAGACTTTACATCCAAAATTTTCTGAATCTTTTCCAAAAGTAAAGAAATTGTAATGTGCAATTCATTTGTCTTCTTTAGCAAAGTTTGGTCTTTGCTCAATGATGAGCTGTATTGAGTTTCCTCTTTAATATTTGACAAGGATTCTTGAATTTTAATCAAACTTTCAAAACTATTGTTCTCAGAGGACGATTCATAAAATTCAATCAAATGTTCATAATCTTCAACAACATCTCTGTGATCCTTCAGTTTCAACAGGTTAGATTCTATCTCTTCTTCATCAACTCTAACATCACAAGACAACTCTGCTGTATTCCCTCCAAATCTCCCTCTATCCTCTTCACCATCATCCCTCTCTACCCCATCTCTATCCAGCTCCCACTTCTCTTCAAATCCTCCTTCTTTCTTCATTCCAAATTTCTAAAATATATAATCCTTCCATCCGGTCTCCTCCCTAAGGGGTTTTGGGGTTTTGGGGTTTTGGGG